CTTCCTCCCCCTCCCCCCCGTACATAATTATGTTTTAAAATTTGTATTTGATTATATGAATAAATTTAGAAAATATATTGTTTCAAATTAAAATGTTTAAATTATTACTAAATTGACTTTTTAATAAAATTTAACCGGCTTTAATTTCCTAAATTCAATTGTTTTGTTTGTACAAAAAAAAAATTTTCCTTTGAAATAAGACAAAGGAATTTAATGATTAAATTTTTATTGCCTTTCAATTAATTTTTTATTATAAATAGTTTACATATTAATAAAAAAAACAAAAAATACACACAAAAATTTATTATGGAATCATCTTTGGCAACTTAAAAACTTTTAATTTTTAATTAAAGCTACTAATATTAAATGAAATCAAACACTATAACTTTCTAAGAATAAAAAATCAAAGAAAAAAAAAACCTTCTTATTAAATTTTTTTTTTTTTTTGAAGAAAACTTATTTAAAGGAAAACATTAATTGTAAAAAAAATTAAAAAAATAAATTATTTTATGGCACATTTATATAAATATTATAGAAAAAATGATGGAAAATTTTTGTCAACTTTCAATTTTTTTCCATATTTTATGAAATTTTGACTTTTCATCGAAAAGACTTTTAACCATAACTACCTGAAATTAATAAATAATATTAATATACATTTTCAAACAAATAAAAAATAATCATTTTAATTAGAAATTATAATAATTACTTGTACAAATCCTACAGAGAGCATAATTAATATTTGAAAAAGAGACCAAGAATTAATTTTCGAAACATTTCCTTCTAAAATGTTTTTATCTCTTGTGGCAAATGCTCGAAACGATTCTTGTAAATGTCTAATTTTTAACAAGTGAGATTTTACTTTTTTAACAGAATTCTAAAACAAAAAAAAAAAACAAAATAAAATAATTATAATGAAATGGAGTTGTTTAAAAATTTTTTAATCATTTATCATTTTAATTTAATTATTTAACCTCGATATCTTGCATTGTCATTTCGTATTGTTCTTCATTTGCAATTTTATTATTTAAAGCATCTTCAATATCTACATCAGTTCCATCTTCTCCTTCAATAATTAATTCAAAATAAACAGTTTTAGCATTAAAACTACTAAAACTATTATCAAAACAAATTCTATAATCTCCTTCTTCGTTAATATTGATTCTATCCAAAAAAAAAACAAAAACATTTTAGTACATATTTTTTTTTGAAAATATTTAATACAGTTTATTTTAATAATAAACCTGTGAGATTTATCAGTCTTCTTGTAATCGGCAACAATTATTCTATTATCTGGTGCCATTAAATAAAATGATATATCAAGAGCTCCCTGACCGCCATCAATTACCTAAAAAAATAATATCAGTAGGGGTTTTCATAATTATTTCCATATTAAAATCTATCATCGATTAATAAAATTTAAAGTGAATAAAATAAAATTTTCATTCATAAATAAGTAATAATTACACAATTAACATTTCCTTTTGTGTAATTTTAATTAATCATTTAATCACCTGATAATCTATATCCAAAACTTGATCAATTTTTAATGTTTGATAAAAACATTCTTTGCTTCCGGGTCCAACACTAATTGTAATGTCTTTTTCGCAGGATACCCATTTAAAAAAAAAATTAATAAATGAAAATAAAAATAAATTATAATTAATAATAATATTATTATTATTGAATGGCTTCATATTAATAAGAAATTTAACATAGTGAAAAATACCAACTAATCATTTATAAAAATTTTCCTTTGACAAAATTATTTTTCCTTTTTCTGTTACAAATTTTTTAAGTTCTTATTTTTATATATATTAATTTGAAAATAAATTTAATTAACTAATTTTTTAATTCATTTATATTGGAATAAATATAATTTAAAAAAATATTAATAAAAGAAAAATTTTTCTATAAAAAAAAAAGAAAAGAAAAAAGGTTCGAATAAAAAAAAAAAAAAAATTAAAAGTTTATCCAAACTATAATAATAGAAAATATTTTTAAAAACCGTTGTTAAAACGACATTTTTTTATTGTGACGTATTAATTTTTTTTTTTTTTCTGCGAAGAAAAATATTTTTTACTTTTTTTCAATGAATTTGATTTGTCAACGACATTTTCATGAGTATTCATCATATGATGTATAAAATGAACGGTTTCGTTAAAAACTTTATCACAAATAATACAAACATTCGTTTGTTTTCTATGAGTTTTTTGATGCGTTATTAAATCATTTAAATTCGTACAAGTTTCTTTGCAAAATTTACATTCGAGTTTCTCCATTGAATTTTCCAATATGCTTCTTATATGTTTTGATAAAAATCTTTGGTTTTTATTATTTAAACTCGTTGGACAAGTCGTGGCATCAGACAATAATACATCAGATTGTAATAAATCTGTTTTTACTTTAACTCCTCGACTTTCAATATTTTGCATTATTTTATTATCTATTGGTTCTTGTTGAGTTGTTTTACCATTAACAATTTCATTATTATTTTTAATATTAACAAAATTATCATTTTTATTTAAAACTACGTTTGTTTTATTTTTCGGTTTTGTCGTTTCACTTTTGCCAACTGTTTTCATTGTCTTTTTCCCTATAAATAATAATAATAGTAATTAGAAAGTACAAATAGATTTTTCTATTAAATTAATTTCTGTACGTACTAAATTTTTTAATTTTTTTCGTTTTAGTTTTTTCAATGGCGCAATTTTCCATTTCCTCATTTCTCTCATTAAATTTTGATTCCAAATATATTTTATTAGATTGAATTAAATTATTAGGTTCGGTTAAAAATGATTTTTTGGTATTTGAATCACCATTAATTACCTCTTCTTGATTCGTAGCAAAAGGATTATTATGTAAAATTTTAAAATCTGATTCATTTTCCTGAAAATAATCTTTTCCGTTTAATAGTTTTTTTCCAAAATTAGTTTCCCACATTTGTTGAGTTTGTTTTATGTATGGATTTATTAATGACCCGATATTAGTCAAAGAAGTATATTTTGATAATAATGGAATTTCTTTATTTTCTTTTTGCAATTCATTATTACATTGTCTTTTTTTAGAACCTTTTTTTTTAAATTTATTTTTTATAAGTATATCAAAAGTTTTCCGGTTAAGATATTTATTTTTAACATCCGGATTAGGAAATAAAATATCATTTCCATCGTCATTGATTTCGCTAAAATTTTCTTCTTCAATTATTGGTAACTGAGTTAAATACATAAATCTTTTACTTCTGCTCTTCATAATTTCGAATGTTTATTATTATTATTATTATTATTTAAAAAAATTTCAAATAGAAAAATATTTTAATATTAATTGTAAAAAATTCAAGTTGGAAATTTTCTTTGAAATGCACATACAGATTTTTCCATAAAAAAAATATTTAATGCCTAAATTTATTATTTTCATTTTTTTTCTTTTTTTTCCCCTTTGATTATTTATTTTAAAATCATAGTTGAGCTTTTAGATAAGAAGAAAGAAAAAAAAACCTAATTTTGATAATAAAAAAAAAAAA